ACTGCTTTCATTCAACAATGTGCAGTTTGTCCACTCTGTGGTTACCTTTTTTGTTTTATTTCTTTTTTTTTAGTTAGTGTTTATACTGCATTCTGTATTGTGCATGTTTTTGTTTTTAAATATGAACATTAGGTTTGCCATTGTATCGTAAATGCAATATTTTTCATTGGACGATGTAACGGCCCCCCCTTTCCCATAACTTACAGTTGTACTATGATATACTTGGTAAATAAAATTTTGTGAATTTCACCTTTTTGTTGACTTGCTCAATTTACCAGAATGAAGACTGGGTTATATATTGATTTTTGTGATGTTTGAAAAGAATATGAAGCAGACACTTTTTTTTTGCTGTAGGGATATAAAAGCCATAATTCCCTGTCCTGCCAGTAGGAGGTGTGAAACAAAACTACTGGCAGTACTAACAGGAGAAAATACTAGAAATAATGACTTAAGTTTGAATATATTTGCTGACAGCATAAACAATGAATTGTTTTATTTGGAAAAAGTTAGCGCAGACATGTTCTAAAGGAATTCTGACAAACTTTATGGGACATCAAAGTTTATGGGTTGTAAAAAAAATTTTCCCCCAGTGTTTCAACTTCTTACTGATTCTTAAAAAAGAATAAAGCGCCAATGAACATTCTATGTTCACTATAAACTTCAATCCTTTTAACATTCAGTCTTGTCACACTGAGCAGGAAGCTCAACCTTCGCTGACGTCTTGGAATTCTTCCCGTTTGCTTTGGTCACCCCTCTGCTCCTCCTTGACAGAAAAGCTGATTCATCCAGACCCAGAAAATGATCTCATCCACTCTCCACCTACTTTTTCTGTTCTATGCTGCCCCCTCCTTGTTTTCCTCTTAAACGCATCCCTCTTTTTAAATGAAAACAAGCTCTCCATCCTCGCATTGGCTGTGCTTGTACGTTCAGCACAGTTGAAGAGTGCAGAAGATGCTGTCCAATCAAGAGCAGGCAAAGATTCCAAAACCTAATAAAACAGCAGCTGGAACATTTTGAACTTTTAAAGTACAGAATTGTTGGCTCTTAGATGAGGGTGGGTTGTCTAGATGATACAAAGAGTAAACATTTATTTTGTTAGAATATTTAAGAACAAAAGAATGCAGAAATAAGAAAATGGTAGTCCCTCAATTTCATGTTGAGCAAGTAAATCTAGTATTTCTACCAATCTTTAGAATGAAAACCATTGTAATTAAGATATTCCACGGTAAGAACAAAGTATCCAGTGACCGATATGCTAACCAACTTTCTACACATTATAAAATAGACAAGCATTAACTTAAAACTTCTATTTTCACCTTTAACCAAGAGATTTGTTAATGAACAGATTGTGTCGCTCAGTGGAATCTGTTTTAAAAACAAATTTTAAAGGATTTAGTTTTTAATGATTACGTACATTTTTAACATTGTTGTCTGTATTATATAACATGACCCATGTTTTCCAGCACAATAAGCAGCTATATAGGGCTTTAATGTTTTTCAGGCATACGAAGTACACCGTAGCCCAACTAAGCAAATATCCCACTCTCTAAAGAACAGAATTGCAAAAATATAATCCTCTAAGCACTTTAAGATTACTTCTAAATTAAGTGTGTGTTTTGCTTTTTTTTCTTCAAACTGATTAGGATCTTAAATACTATAGATGGCACAAAAGCAAGACTGTTTTCCTTGTCTGCAAAAGTATGGGAGGGAAAAAAACAAAACATCTGTGTTATCCATTTTAATTCATTCCAATCGTCTGTCCTTGTGCTCCTTTCTTCCTTGTCATTTCTTCTTTCTTTGCGCCATTTTCCTTCTTTCTTTTATCTCAGGAAGGGGAGTGGTGGTCTAGTGGTTAGGGCATTTCGCTTGGAATACAGAGGTTCAGAGTTCAAGCCCCAATCCCACGGAACAACACTCTGGCTCCCTGAGCAAAGACCCATAACCCCACACTGCTCCCAGGGCGCTGCACAATGGCAGCACACCTCTCCCCAAAGGGTTGGGTTAAATGCGAAGAGTGAATTTGGTTGCTCTGTGTAATGACGATAAAAAAGCCTGCTTTTTGAATGTGTCTTTCCTTCTCTTCATTTATGTAATTTATTCAGCTTCACCCACCTTTGTGTTGCTTATACCTTCTTTGATTTGTCCTTTTGTTTTCTGTTCCCACCTCTTTGCTTTCTTCCTTTATTCCTTCACTTATGTCTTACCCATCTTTTTTGTGACCTTATGTCCTTTACTTTCTTCTTTATTTCTCAACTTCTGTTTTTCAGGATATTACATTTTTATATAAATACTATAAAATCTTATTTGTACTAGAAGTTATCAGGTTCTTAGAGCATCACTTGCTGTTATTCTAGTTAACCCTTTGAGATATTCAGTCAAGCAAAGTCAAATTGTGTATTACAACAGTGTGTCTGTAGCATGAAAGTTAGTTGTCCCATATGATATAAATTAATTGATTAAAAGTATTTCCAATGGAAAGCTGCAATACATTATTTATTATGTAAGGGCATCTGCTTTGTTTAGTAACTATGGGAAAATAAAACCAAATTTGGTATTCTAAGTTTTTTCAGTTAATTGTTGCCCATTGATCAATGCCAATGTTGTTAGCTGTTTTATATCATATTTTTTACACAACAAAAAGCCTAAAGAGGTTTTCATGTAAGACAGCTGTGGCCTTTTATATTTGAGCTCTCTGTACATTAGGTTACTATTACTGTCAAATATTTAACTGATTAGCTGAAGAAGGACCTCCTTGTTACATTTGTAACAAGCCTGTTGTAAATGAATAACAAAAATCGTATGCAGACAGAAGATAATGTGCTCTTATCTTTACCGACTTCATATTGTACTTTGTTACCAGGCTGGTTAACCTCATTATTGGATTAGATATCTCATCAGTCTCTTCAGGCTGAGGTATTGTAACATTTTAGTGGCTAATTAATCTGTAACAAACCAAAAAAAATCTGGATGAGGTTGTCAGTAGCCCACCTCCATCATGACCACCTTGTAATCAGTGATTAGAAAAAGTGAAGTAATCTGAGTTGTGTCTCTAACTTCTCATACTTTTAATACTAATGTAAGGTGGCACATTACTGAGGGGAATATGAAACAATACACAACTGTTTCTCTGCTTTACTGTACAAAAACAATCAGAAACAAAAGCCGCAAATTAATTTAACACAATACCAACTTACCATACCATACCAACTTTATTTATGAAACACTTTATGCACCGGACAGCGCCAAAGTGCTGTACACAATCATAAAATACAATAAAATTATAAAATAGGAAAAAAAACAAGTGTAAAATACATATTAATATACAAAGAGAATAAAACAAAGTAAAACCTCTCTAATTGTGCCAAAAGCCAAGGAAAAAAGATGAGTCTTAAGAAGGGACTTAAAAACAGCAAGAGAAGAGGCCTGTCTTATGGTCAGAGGCAGATCATTCCACAGCTTAGGAGCTGCCACAGAAAAAGCACGGTCTCCTCTGAGCTTGCATTTTGTCTTTGGGACCCTCAGAAGCAACTGATCAGCTGACCTGAGGGAACGGGAGGGTGTGTAAGGATGCAACAGCTCAGACAGATAAGAAAGGGCAAGGCCATTAAGATATACTTTGAAACTAGTTAGGTCTGGAAGTCTTTTGGGGTTATGACCACCTTTATACTACGTTAGTAACCCTTTCTTTGGAAAATAAATCAAACCCAGAGAAGGAGTGTCTGTGGACATCAGTTTTCATGTTTCTATGACCCGCATTCCAAATGGGTGAACCCCTTCATCTGTTCCAATTTGCATGTTTTAAAAACAAAAACAACGCTTTGTTGGGCTACTGTATAAAACCTTGAACTTAACACTATTCCTGACATTTTGGATTGAAAAAGCTTCATGGGAAGCGAAACGTCTTCTAACTCGGAAACTGATCCCAGTGGATTGCTTTTATTTATTTTTTTAATTTCTTATGGACTATAGCCCATTCTTGCTCCTGCATATACAGCCAGGTATCAGGTATCGGTATCGGGGCCAAAAAATGGCATCGGCGCAACACTAATTTAAATCTTGAGTAATATACTTCCATTAATACATATTAATACATTAATATGCTCTGTTTACTTAATTTAGGTATAATCAGGATTTTATTTTGGGGTTCCAGATTAAAAGGGGCTGAGGAAAATTCCAAACCCCACTTTTTAGATCTGTATATGTGAAAAAAGAGGCAAATTATTTCTTTTTTCACTTTTATTTTTTATTGTAATGTGTCAACTTGCTTAATTAAGCAAAGTAGGCTCCATGCTATATAGTTTTCAAGATTTGTAGTTTGTATCATTTCACCCTTTATAGGGCACTCAATTAAATAGTTTGAAAAATCAACATTTCAAGCCAATAGTGTTATTGGAATCCAGGACAAGTCCTTAATACCTTTGTAACACTAGAAAAAAATATGGAAAATTTTTATGGCAAAAATGTTTGTCAATGTAATGACAAGAAACGGCAACTTGCCTGAATACATTAAGAAAAATAACAAAAGTTGATTAATGAAAAGCATTTTTTTTTTTTTTTGGTACAACATAACCTTATAGGCATTAATTCTGGTACTTAAATTTTTTTAGTTTATAAACCTAAATAGAATAGTTACCAGGCTCATTAACTTTTTAACTTTACTTTTAAACTTTTTAATTGGCTTTTTACCTTTTTTACTTGACTTGCTAACTTTGTCTTTAAACTTAATTTACAGTATGTAATATATCATTCAAGGGCTCTTTTAAATTATCAATGCCAAAATAAGATGTACAGCCATGTAGCAGTATTTTTGCTGAATGGCTGGATGTAGATATTGTGCTTCTAGACCTCACTGAGGTTTAGAAGCTTATATGCAAGTGATCAAAAATTGTAACTTGCCTTATAAAGGGTTAAATACTTTTAAAAATTAACATTTACTTTACTAAAAGGTAACATTTGGTCTAATTAGGGTCTTCACTAAGGTAGTTAAATGAAACATATTCAGGTCTATATTTCAGGCCTTTGGTCAGAATCACACATTCCTGGATAGATTAGGTGATTTCTGGTGTTTTCCTGATCCACTGCAGCTACTTTCTGCTCCTGCTGACTTGGTTAGTATAGGGTTAAGTTTCTTCTTCCAGCGTTTATCCCTCATAATGGGATGTGGCTCCGAGTCGCTCTGCTGGTTTAAGCTGCAGCAGGTCAACATATTGAGCGCAGGAGGCGGTGCGCCATGGGCTGAGCCTATTTGCAGGGAAATGAGCTGAGGACTGGGAGCTGCTCAGTTGTCGTGATTTCTCCCGATCAGGAGCCGGCGGGCCTCAGACAGACATGGCGACACGTGGAAATGTGCGTCCGGCAGGTCATCGGGGTGGATTAGCCTAAGCAAAGCAGGTCTGATCCATTTTTTTATTTTCCCACTCCTCGGAACCTTGCGATGCGCTCTGTAAAGGAAGCGGGTTTCACACACATCCGGAAAACGCATCCATGCGCCACGGCCGCCCCGCATCCAGATATGCTCCTGGCAACACAAAGCCTGGCTTCAGTTAGCTCCACTACAGAACCGCACGGCATGGGTGCGTCCGCCCGGTCTGTGCGCTTGATTTTGCGGATGAACCTTCTGAGTGCCGTTATGCAATGAGACAGTCGGGGATGATCAAATAAGACTATTGATACATGATCTGACAATATGGCTGATCAGAGCAACATTCAGTCTGCCGCCTCTAAAAGCATCCGGCCCTTTAAATCCAGCGAAGAATACCTGTATGCCATGAAGGAGGACCTGGCTGAATGGCTGAAGACCCTCTATGACCTGGATGTCACTGCGGATAACTTCATGGATGCTTTAGGGACGGGCTGCGCCCTGTGTCGGCACGCCAACAACGTGAACCGCGCCGCGCAGGAATTCCAGTCGGAGTACCCGGAGGCTGCCAGGTCCATGAAGGTCCCATCCAAAGATGTGGTGTTCCAGTCCAGGAACGTCATCCCCGGCTCCTTCCTGGCTCGGGATAACGTGTCCAACTTCATTACATGGTGCAGGCAGGAGCTGTGGATCAAGGATGTCCTCATGTTTGAGACTAACGACCTGGTGGAGAGATGCAACGAGAAGAATTTCATCCTGTGTCTATTGGAGGTGGCGCGGCGGGGGTCCAAGTTTGGCATGCTGGCCCCCATGCTGATCCAGCTGGAGGAGGAGATCGAAGAGGAGATCCGGGATGAGGAGAGCCTTAGGGTGGATGGAGGAGAGCCAGCTGAGGAAAGCTCACCCAGCAGGTGTTACAGCCGCAGGGAGAGCTGTCAAAGTGTGCAGGATGAAAAAGAACCGGATCCAGAGCCCTACGTCTGGCCACAGAAGAGGGTTTTATGTGACATGAGAAATTTGGATGAGCTGGTGAGTTACTGAAGTGTCTCTACATTATTTTCTTAAGATGCGTCTTAATGAATTAGAGCAGCAGAGGAACCATATATGTTACACATTTGTTGCATATTATCTGAGATTTTTCAATATCAAGGCTCAAGTTTGTGTAAGATTTCATAAAGCCGACTGTTTCTGATTCCAAAATCTGTAAGTTATGGATATGTGGTGATGCAATTATAGAAGGTGACTTGACAGTTTCCCCAAACACAGACACTGATGCCTTCCACTTAGTGGGTAATCCAGGAAGTCACTGAAAGAAGCTGGGAAAAAGTGTGGTTAAAAAAAATAACAGGTGAATGGAAACACCACATCCTGAGAGGAATGTGAAGAATACCCAAATCAGGAGTTTAGAGAAGATTCACATCGGATGATTTTGCCAGACGTCAGAAGCATCACGGGTTAAGGTTTCACAGCAAATGATGGCTTGGTCATCTGCTGCTGCAGGTCCACTGAGTTTTTTCAAATCGAAAGTCAACACAAGAACATGGAAATTCTAGAGCACTTTATGTTTCCCTTTGCTGACAGGATTTATTGATATTCAGATTTATTCCAGCAGGACTTGGCACTTGTAAACATTGCCAAGGGTATTTATGCTTACTTTTAGGAACATTAAAAAGAAACAAAAAAAAAAAAATTGTTATCAACAAGAAAAAGGAAACACTAGAGCCAACAATGGAAGCAAGGACAAGCTGAAGGTTGCAAATAAAGCAACCTAGGCTTGCTTAATATCTCAACATCGCTACAGACTGATCACCTCTGCCAGGCTGCAGTTTTTGCAAAATAAACCCAATCCTAGTTTTAGGTTTATATATAATTATTATACTTAAACTTGGTTGAAATGTCTGTAGTAAAATTACTTAGTGTTGGTTTTATTCCACATTTAAATTTCCCAATATGGTTAACGCTCTATTAGCTTTAGGCTCTGTCTAATTATCCAAGTTAATAGAAATAATCATTAAACACTTTAAATATACCACCCAGTATGCATTTAAGCTAAAATTAGTTTTCTTGCTTGATTTAAATAGCGAAACTTCTCAACTAAATCTAATTTAATGAGATGCACCTGTTATCTTTTCCCACAGGCGCACAGAATGTGTTTTATGACTGATGAGCTCATTTTTTTTGCATGTTTAGGCAGATTGTTGATTTGCAAGGAAGCATTCCCTCAGGATAACAGAATATACTTTCCCACAGAAACTCTACATTTAACCTTGCCTCAGAGTAAATATAATCCAGTGTATTTTGTCTGGTGTTTTGGCAGCTGTTGGAAATCCAGATTTCTTTAACAATAAAACCCACCCAAACAGAAAAATGTTTGAAAATTGAACTTGCCTCTCTGAAAGCATCATGTCGGTTTTGCAGGTTACCTGTTGCATAAGTGTAAGTATGTATACTGGTACATTCCTTTACAACCAAGAGGTCAAGAAGTTCATCACCCACAAATTCTTGCAGCTCCTCGCAGGCGACCTCTGGGATTTTAAAAACCAGACATGTTGAGCCTCTTTCAGTCAACTTGTATAACAAAAATAATTTATATTAAGCAGAGCAAACTGTTTAAATCATTAGCATTCTGCAGCAGCTTCCCAACATGCGTTTTTTTAAAACCACATTCATCTAATTTTCTTCCAATCCATTGGAACTAACTTTTCTTTATTAAAAGTTGCTGCTTCTCAGCAGACCACAACAAAGCTAATGAGAGAGCAGACACCCAGGCAGAACACATGCTTTTGTTAGGCTGTGTGAATGGTGGTGGAGTTAATATTTTCATGCTGATGAGAGAAACAATGCCGGTCTTTGACACCAATGATCTAAGAGCCGACAGGGCGGGAGGAGAGCAGACAGGACAGGCACACTCATGCTTGTCAGGCAGCAGAGTGGAGCGCTTTCTGTGACCTCTGTAGACAGAAATAGGAGGAGAGCTTGTCCAGCTTCTGAGTCCATCACACACACACACACACACACACTCATATGACTGGAGGTTATACAAGCATGGCGCATTTTGGGACGGAACAATCAGAGAAGAGCTACTGATGCATATGCGAGTCTTTTCCTTTTCAGTCACCATCTCTTTTGCCTCTGAGCGTTCACAGTGTCATGTGCCAGAGTCAAAGAGAGACACTCAGACTGGAGAGCTTCTGACTGATAATAGAAGCGTTATCATCTGTCTATGAAATTCAGACTGCTTCCTCTTTGGAAATTTCAGTTTATCTGCAAAGAACTGTGGGGAGCAATTAAAATTGGGCAATGAAAACAATAAACTTTATTTATCATTACATAGGAGGTTGGATTGAAGCTGTATGCCATGGTAGGGAGAACAGAGAAAGTTCCAGCGGAGATGTTTGCAACATGCCATCTTTCTCCATCTAAAACAAGTGAGGACACTCATACTGCAATATTGGAGGCCTCCCTTACTTCTAGAGGACAAGCAAGAAGATTTTATAACTGCTCCAGGATTAAAAAAAAAATGTTTTAGGGACTGAAAGTTTGTTTTTTATATCGTCACTGTTTTAGGGATTCAGCTACAACAACAAGTGATGCATTTGCTTTTTGCTAATATGGTTACCATGTTACCTAGTTACCCATGATCAACTAGTTTAACATTTGTTAACAGCAGCATCACTTTGGTAGGAGGCCTGTATGTTCATGGCTGAGGACAATACACTGAATGGTCCATTGCTATAAAAATCATATGGTTAGATTCAGCTGCATAGCTGTCATATCCATATAGATAATGGGTTTTATCTGCAGTTTTCTAGTTAAACGTATCATGAAATTTGCACTTGTATTTTTCCACAATTAATGAATGCATCTGTTGAAAATAACAAAAAAAAAAATAATTGTTTCACTCTTCTCATGTCACTGAATCTTGGAGATGTTTAGTATCCGATCAAAGCCGATAACACTTTAATTGTAACATATTTTCAATAGAAATCCTTAACAATATGTCATCATAATCTATTTATGGACAGTAAAATATATTGTATTTGTCTCATGTTGCAAACATCCACAAAGGAATGCAACATCTGATTCTTTGAATTCAGATGCAATTTGTGAAAAATAGATTTTCTCCACTCAGTTTTAAAGAACTTGTCTAAAGTATTTGAGTAACAGTCAAATGTAAAACATGTTGCAACTGTTCCTAGTCTCCACTATTTCTAAGCATTTGCATTAGATTATTACTTAATATCTGCAGCTCCGATTTGTCACAGTTTGCTGTCCAAATTAATTCTACTATTTAGCATATAAGTCCAATTAATGCAGATTGATGTAAACTTAGTGAGTCACTCTTCCCAAATGTGTAAAAATACACAATAATTGCTTTGCTAATCATACCCAGCTCTAAAGATAATGCTTAGGCTGTAGTGGCCTTTATTTTCTTATTCTTAGAATAGAGGCAGCAGGGCTTGGACTCAAACCTGAGGCAACCGATATTTGGGTCATGCGCTTTACCTCCATAACACAGTAGCACCCCGGTTATACCCAGATTTAGTTTTTAAATGTTTTGTATTATGAAGCATTATTTTATTTATTATTTTTCTGCAGAATAAATATGCTCCTAGTCTGTTGCTTTGTTTACATATCTTATATGGGACATAAGTTGTTATTGTTTACATCAAGTGTAAGTCATATAATCACAGGAATCTATTTTAAGCAAAAATGTAGTCTGTGTTGTTAGTTTTTGTGCAGTTTATTATCACAAGACAGCTCTAACTGCACTGAATCCCAACAATGACATGCTTCTGTTGTTCCTGCAGCATTGTTGCCTTGCAGCAAGAAGGTCCTGGTTTCAAATCCCAGTGCTGCCATTTCTGAATGGCCTTAAAAGTGTGGATTGTTCCCAAGTTCCTCATCCAGCATTTCAAAAAAATGCATGTTTTCTATTTTACTTTGGTTACATTAGTTACTAGATTGTCCTTAGGTCTGCCTATGGACATTTGTCACGTGTCTCTGTTTTTTTAAGGTTAGGCATTAATTAGGCATTACACTGTTAAAAAGCTGTATGTAATGACATTTTGTTTTGTATATAAGGGAGTTTTTCCTCTCCACTGTCGCTACAAGCATGCTTAGTGTGAGGGATTGTATTTGAGTCAATGAGTCGATGCAATCAACTGGTTTTCCTTAGATAGAAAACCTTGTATCAATTTGACTGTATGATCTGGTTGAACTGTAAAGTGCCTTGAGATGACATGTGTTGTGAATTTGGCACTATATAAATAAACTGAATTGAATTGAATTGAAATTATACACTCTGTGTATGCAAAATGACAATACTCAGAAAAAGATCAGTAGAGTCAAATAAAACCATTTCAAATGCTGGAATTTGGAAGATTAGGTATTGATTAAATTCTTGAACAGCGTGTAAGTAGGTCTCCTCCTTTGGACCCCGGCAGTTTCTGTAACTAAACAGTAATTATTGTGTATTTTTCAATGCTACAATGCACAATTAACTTGGAAAGTCATGGAGAGTCACATTCACTAGCTGCTGGCTACAAAAGAGATTAGCTGTTGACCTTTCTGGCAACACACCCTCATGTCAACATTCCCACCTCTCTTTCTTCCTCTGATCTGCCCCAGTTTACTCATCTTATATCGGAAAGCCTCCCTCTATGGCTCAGATAGTGGCTGTAAGTCTCCCTTTACAACAAATGTCACCTTAAGGCATTTTAATGCAAAAAAAATGTAAGTATCCAATTATTCCAAATCTAATTCACACAAAATTTATTTAAGTCAGAATCAGATCCAACTGATACAGTCCAATTTAACCTATATTATTATACAAACAGATTTTTTTATCCCATAATGGCAGCTGGTCGACTAAATTTTCTTTTAAAGGAAACTCACTGATTGCTTTAAGTTGCTGACTTGGGACTGGGCAAATATGTGCAAACAGTAGAAAGGAACCAATCATCATATTGAGTGTGAAGAAACCAAAAACAAATGGAGGGCAGCAGAGAGAATTAATAAAAACAGAG